TAACGGAGGGAATGTGCACGAATATACGTGAAGGTGAATGGAGAACAATAGAACACATGTTGAATGAATGTGAAGGAATGAGGGGAATGAATGAAAGTACGGAAAGGTGTTGAATGGAAAGGAATTATTTTAGACGTTTCTATGGCAACTTTTTAGCCCTATGTAGTTGGAATACAACAATGAACTGTAAAAAAACAATCGGTGCTAATAAGTTACTTTAGGGCTACTAGTTAGATGATAATTACTTTTTAACTTTCATTAAGTTACTATTTTACACCATAAAAATTGTGGCAATTTACTGTTGCTTAATTCTTATATTTAATATGGAATATTTGGAAGTTCCCTTAATATTTATTTTACATCTAACGAAAGTTGGCATTTTATCCTAACTGTGTTTAATGTTTAGGCATGCCGTTGCCAGAAATGCTCCCAAAAAGCCGTGAATAAAAAAATAATGTGTTTATCATTAAATATTACAAACAAGTTTGATTTAGGGCGCGCTTTAGGTGATTTATCGGCTTTTACAAAAAGTAAACTCATAAATTCCAAATACTTTGAAAAGATAAGATCCACCCTGCAAAAGACCGTCTAAATTGTACGCTTCGTAATCATAAAGTCCTAAAAAATCATATAATGGCACCACATTTCAATTTCCCCTGTACGATGATGTTCTCTAACAGCAGGGGGCAAATGTCACCAATGTGGAACGCAGCATTGATAGTAGCGAAATCATCTTTAAATATATTTATCTCTGTTCCAGTTCCGCGTTCCTCCCCCAACCGCGAATAACGCAGATGCGTTATTTTAAATTGAGGCACTGCCCCATTTCCCCTTCAAAACGCAGCCGTGAACTATGATTGCTTGGCCTTTGGAAGTAATTTAATCTATTTAGATTCTGTGGGGGAGAGCTGTAAAGTTTTCCCATGGAGGCCTCGATTTCCTCTAAGAAGCTTAAGTCCTAATTGGAGGAACGCAGCTCCGGCCCGACGCTTTGAAGAATTAATTAGAGGGGTTATGGGGAGTTCAGGCAAATGAGGGGAAAGGATAATGCAGGAAGGATGGCAGTTCTACATATGCAGTACGAATAGTAGCGACTGGTCCAGACGAGGGTGAATCTCTCAATATCGATCAGCCAGCAGTCCAATCAAACCCTGTGCGTGACAACTCTCACTCTCTGAGCCCTTCTCGGCACCCCCATCATCCCTATGCGGCTCCCTCGCCGCCCCATTCATCTGCACCATACAACAACATAAACATACTTACACGCAAATGTGAAGGCTTTGCATCTCCTATTCTAATTTTCGAATGACTCACCCCGAGAGGTCCCGATCAAGGAGCAGACTTGATGAACGGGGAGATTCCACATAAATATTTAAATAAATTCGAAAGCAATTTCGACTTCGATCGTTTGTTATAAAAGTTGAAATTCCCATGTTGTTGGCTATACCAATATTTTATATAACCTGGGGAATTTTGCTAGCAAAATATTTTGTGCAAGAAAATAAAACAAAAGATAAAAGAGTGGGAAGGGCTTTGTTCCACGTAAATTGAATTTGAAAATTGGCCGCCATGCACTTGGCTTGCTAAGATATGATATACTTTGTTTTCTTTGTGTATGCTATTCTTGCTTCTCGTGTTTTCTTTTGGATTTCTAATACAATGAACAGCGGAATTATTTTGGTTTAGTAATTATAACGGACGAAATTCAGCAGCGACGAGAATACGTTCCTTCATTTATCTTTATTTTTGCTCTTTTCGCAGAAGCTTAATCCAATTTCGTATCATTCATAAAGCGCGAACATACTACAACACTGTTTTTTTATTACTCATGTGTCACTAAGCTTATTAGGAATTTGTTCATGAACATTAATTAAAGGATTTAAACAATTTTCAAACAGAACTACCACTTGTACTTGCAATTACTGCTTATTATAAAATTTTTCATTTGTATTTTCTTCGCGTATTAAAAGTGGTTACTTTTATGTTTTATCTTCGTTTTATAGCTTGCATATTACGGAAATCTTGATTTCTTATATGTGTCTGCGCTCTGCCTGTCGTCGCTGTAATAAGATGCGTAATCTCTGAAACTGTTAGACCGATTGCTATGTAGTGTTTTTGATGTACTTTAAGATTACGATGTAGTTATATAGTTAAACGTTAATGAAAATTTATTTGTCATCCCACCAAGAATTTGATTGACGTTGTCTCAATATTTCCTAGTTTAAATTTTATAAAGTAATATGTTTTTATACTTGTGGTTTATTATTTTTTATTATTTTTACTTTAAATATCGAGATCTTTGGAAAAATCATTTCTGTAGAAAAAAAAAATATCTTAGAAACTACAAAACCGACTTCTTTGAATTCTTGGAAACATTTATGGTTATGGTGATCGTATGTCGTTTCCAAATGAATTTTGAAAGCTGTCACCCGCCTGTCACACTGATTGTTTTGTATTAATAAACTCAAATTGATATATGTGTCCTTGATAAATTGTTGATGACATCATCACAAAATTTTGCTGTGGAAGAACTCACTCGAAACCTATGCATTGCATGCTTGTTTAACTGTACTTTAATAGTCACACATATCTTTATTTTAACTTAAAGAGTATAGAAGTTTTTTTTCTATTAACGCAGTGTGCTTCAGAGGCAAAGAAAGTTCATTTGAAATCATTTGACACAAATTTTTAAACAAACACCATCACTACTAATAAAAAGTTTGTTTTTATCGGATAACAATTCTTTGTTAGACTACTTCTGAAGAGTTCTGAAAAGAAATCATATAAATAATTTCATGTTTTTCCTCGTGGTGTTACAGTTTCCTAAACAAAAAAAGTGCGAATTAGGAAAAAAAAAAAATTAGTAACACTTTTAAAAATGTATTTTTCTATTTTGAGTTCACATTAAACTCATTGTGAAACCATTCTTGGTTCAGTTTGTGACAGGTGGAACAAACATTTTTTTAGTATTATAAAAGTGCTCTAATAGATTTAATTCAGGAATATATTATAGTGGTTAAATTTTGGAAGTGTGAGTGTTAATACATTTATATACATTTTACGAATTAAGCAAAATAAGTGATATTTTTGCTGTTATTTTCAGTTGGTTAAAACTTAAAATCAAAACAAATACATGTCTTATTCTGGCTATAAAAAATTATAATATCTTACAGAAGATTTTTGGAAATAGTTTTTTAAGAAAAACAAAACTTTTGCTTACGTTAAGAATTACTTAATTCTGGGTGTAGTAAGTAGCTTTAAATAGAGCAACTTGAAGTTTTACAGCAGAATTAACTATTATTATGAGTAAATTTCCAAAATAAAAATTAGCGTAACCAAATTTTTCTATAAAAATTCTATTTTTCAAAATGCTAGATTACTAGTTTTTTTTTTTTTTTTGTTGAAAACTCTAGCTGTTAATAAAAAGTTCCAGGCGGCAAAGAACCATAAATTAGATCGTCCAATGCATTATAAAGTTCCTCACTGTTTAACATATGGGGAATTTCAGGTTTAAAGCAAAATAAAGCTTCTGTTTATTAAAAATGTTTGAGTTATTTTTAGTCAGCATCTTATTCTCTGGTACTTAAAATTGTTTTATTTTCATCATGTATTGCATACTTCTAAGTGATAACAATAACTAATGATTGTTAACAATAATCAAAATATAACTCATTAAAAATTGTCTGTACTTGGATATAAAATTTTGTGGGATTACTTTACATTATTGTTTAATTTAAATTTTTGTTTTATCAAATGATATTTAAATTATCAAATAACATAATAAAACAATGCATTTTCTAATAGGAATACAAATTTGGTGTGTTTTAATAAACAAACATAAACTATTATTTTATTAAGGACGAGGAACTGAATGTGATTATACTACGCCTCGCTACCATTGGTTGCTTTTCTGATGAATTATAAATCCGTAATAAAATCAGGAGTGGATTCATTACTATCTACATGTTAAACTGCATTGACACATTGAATTTATAACATTGGCACAAAATTCTCCTGTGGACCACGATGATTAATATAAAAGTGGTAGTTATACATAGAATCAAGAGGAAAAAATAGTACATATAATTTATTTTGTTTCAAGAGAAACACTAAAGTACCTATACAAAGACGTGGCAAGTATAACTGCTCATCAGTTATCAGCGAGGGGTAAGCAAGAAAACAGTGGCTGATTTTTTAATGAGTTACATAATCACTAGAATTTTATTTAAATATTACCTGCTTAGTAATAATTTGTGTACAGGTGCATTTTTGCTGACCATCACAATAGTCCAAACAAAGCAAACAAACAAGGAAGAAAAAATATGGTTTTATACCCACTTGCCAGACGGATGATGAGTTGTCAGATACTTAAAATAATAGCTGTTAAATAATTGGGTAATTTATTATTTTTCGTCGTTTTCCGTTCATTTAAGAACCTTATAACTAAAAACTTATGACGTAAGAAAGTTTCACGAAGTGAATAAAACTTTTATGAGTCCTTTAGATTCATCAGGTAATTGAAAAGCTTTCATCGGCATTGAGGTCCCCTGCAAGATAAATTTTGAGTCGGCCTCTATTCTGCGAGTTTCTCTTAATTAAAGTTAGGGGCAATTTTGAAACAAAGCTCTTTACAACGCTCTGCTTTTAAAACCATCAATATTGACGAGGAGCTCGGACATTGTGCAGCATCACCCCCTATTCTAGTGAAAAGTTAAAAAGCGTCTGATATGATTTTGTCGGTTTTTGACTGCATTAGTGATGATTTATGATGGTTTTTATTCAGTATTGCTTGGTTACCGGATACTTTAGCATAGTGTATCAGTCACAGGCTGACAGGATGTTATATAAATCATCATTTGATCCTAGTCGAGACACGTCTGGATCACAGGATCATTTATCGCAGTTTCTCGTGTCGATAGCGAGGAAAATTCCCTCCTCCACGCAGAATTAATTGCGCCTGAAACTGAATTAAATAATACGCTCTTTCTGTTTGATTTCAGGTCGTTTGGGTGAATTTTTGAGCTACATATCGCTAAATTGAAATCTCCATTGCGACGGAATAGTTGAAGCCGGACTACGGAAACATTTGAAGCGAGCAGGTCTGTCGCTGGCAACAATGGGGTGTAATTGGTTTCAACTTTGGCCCCACTTCACCTATAATGATTCTAGTTGACTTCCCAATTCCACGCTTTCAAACCTTTCTCGGTATGTAGGACATCTAAAAAACCGATGGCCTTAATTTCATATAATAATAATCACATTTCTCATTTCCAACAGGAAAACCTAATTAACAAGGATATAATACATAAATCAAAATAATCGGTTGTATGCAAAGAAATCCATGATTTATTCAGCAAATGGTTGTATAATTAATCATCAGGTGGACAGGAATGAACCTCGAATATCTGTAAGGAATCGAAATGTGGTGTGATCAAGATAATCTGTAATCGACTGGTCGCTGAACGTGAAATCGTTTGAACTAACAATAAATTTGTTGTTAAAAGTTCAAGTTAAGACCGCAAAGCAGCACAGACGCAAGGGGTCACATCCAAGTATGATTCAGTTCAAATTATCTTGACCCAAGCATGACCATACTTATTTCGTTAGTTCTGAAGCCTTAGTTAGTGTTTAAAAAAACAGGTGTTGAATATTTTTACAGAAGATTATTTTACATTTTAAATCAGTTGGGACGGCATTCATTCAAACCGAAACCATTTTCTTCTAGATTTTATATTTAAAATAGGGTGTAAAGTGAACGATTTGATTGGTTGAGGATTTTCAAGTCGTTGTAAAGAACCCTCGGGTTTTTCAATCTCGCGCATGTTCAAGGGTAGTTTATATAAACCTCACGGCAGCCTCATTGGGCCCTGATTTACATAAGGGTAAGATCACCCCTTTATCTGGCGCATGGGTTTTTTAAGGGTCTTTGTCGAAGCAGATGTAATTTATACGTGATATCTCCGAGTATACTCTATGATGATTGCTGCGAGATCGGACCTGTGGGAGCAAGCGGTCGAGGGTAGCAACCCTGCTGATGTTATGACGTCAGGTCGGGATTTGAATGTATTCGCGTGTCTCCTGGGATTTCGACTTCACATTTTGTTGTTATTATGTTCCAGCAGGCCTGGCAGGATGTCGAATAGGCGGAAAAGTTGTAAGTCAGCTTAAAGTTGATTTTTTTTGTTACACATGTATTTGACAATATAAAATTTATGCATTCTTCTAACTTTAAAGCTTCACTGTGGAATAGCACTATCGTATTATGAGCTGAAGTGATAAAATTGAAAAAAAATCTATATTTTTGAATTAATTCAGAAGTCTAAATTTCTCCGTAATTTAAGTTTATAAACACAGACATAGGAGTCTAAAATCTAATCAAAGAAATGCGAAAATTGTTTGGGGAATACTGTTTAGATGAGTTTTACTTAATAGCCTATCAAAAAAAAAAAAAAAGGAAGTGTCTTTCGACGTGGCAAAACTATTTACCACGATAGTACTTTAGAGTGTAGTGTTCTTTCTTTTTTGATATCAGGTAATAGCCAACCTAATACTTTGCATTCGTTGAATTATCAAGCTATTTTTGATACCAGTAATTTTGTAGCTATTATAGTATGCGATAAAATTTTAAGGCTAGCGAAATTTCAACAAACTCGAATTCATGGCATAACGTCAACACTAATGTAAAGTTGTTGTCAGATGCAGTAACAATGAAAATAAATAACTTGAGAACTGAAAAAAAAAACAGAAAACAATTATCCTTCACAAGTACTGAAAAAAAATCTTTGTCGTCGGTGTTTGTGTCGCCAACTTTTGTACTTCAGCGGCGAGGAAAGTTCTTTATAAATTATCTTAGAGCCATTTTTTGTCTAGTAGACAGAATTGAATTAATTAAATCACAAGTAAAATGTTACTTACGTATTTGAAAAATTTTTAGAAAAGATAATAATTTTCTCTGTAATGTTTTCACAGCTTAAAGCCTGTTAGATTAATACATTAGTCTTAAATTTAGGTTTAAATGAACTGTTAAGATAAACAGTAATTTTAAACTTAAAATTAATTGTTTTCATAGTTTTTAGGACTACACAAGTTATGATTAACCAAATGTGAATTACAATAAAGTCAAAATAAAATGCAATGGTTTATTTAATAAACGAAAGTCGAAGCAATAAAAAAAAGTCTGGATCATTGGCATTGTGATCCGGTGATTGCAATCCGTAGAAAATATCTTTTAATTCAGTTTCTGTTTCACTCTTACTTTTACAATCTCAACAAGCGTTATCGCTATTTGTTTTAAATTACGCGTACCATAAATGATTTTCAGTTCAGTCTTCAGTCGCACCTCTGCTACCACACATGGCAGAATGACTAAATTGTTTCGATATTATATTGAATAGAAATCAAGAGTCAAGACGACTCACTACATTTTTCCGAAAATTTGGGAATACTTTACTTTTATTATTAATTTTACACTACATTCGTCCAAACTGACATACGTGTCCTTGCAAAAAATGCTTTTTTCAAAAATATTAAATTTATCACCCTCATGTCACTTAAAAAAATCAAGTTGACCTTGTATCTCCGAAACAAATGTTGATGGAAATTTGAATAATCTTTCAGAGGATAAAGTTAAAATACTTATGTGTACCAAATTTCAATGATTTCTGATAAACCGTTCTCGCGATATTCAACTGTTTTCATACTTTTTAGCAACCCTGTATATAAAAAATATTATTTATTGTTAACAAATGTTTAGGACCAAACACTAAGATATTATTTAACAAATGTTATATTTTTACTGCAAGTCTACCATTCTAAATGTTGACGGTGTTTGTACGGTTCTATTTGGGATACTGATTCTTCTGAAGTGTGTACTGGATAAAATGGATGACTTAATAACATAATTGATGCATTTATAACAAAAATATGAGTACTATACTACCATGATTGAGAGAAAAACTAACCTAAAATATGTTTAAATTATAACTAATATCAGTTGACCTTTAGATGGGAATAATGCATATAATTTAACAGTAAATATTCCTTCATGATTTGGAAAATCTCTCAATTTTTTCAGATGGCACAAATTTTATTTTATGTTTTCGGCTTTGTTTTAGAAGAACTCTTTTTTGATGCAGAAATTATTTCAGTATATTATTAACAGTTTTTTAAAGTTTTTGACCTCCCTTTTTTTATAGCAATTTTTCTTTCTTTTGTCTCTGTTTTTCTTTTTTCACTCTTTTTGAGAAAATGACTTTTTACAGCATCACGTCGGAAAAGCTATATCTGTAAATGATAACAGTAATTACTAATTCATAATGTTTCTTTTCACACTTTTCGTACATGCTATCACTTTTTAAACACCCTTCATCTCAGTGTTTTATTTCTTTGTGTCGTGTCTGCTTTTTTCGATTCCGCAGCATTCGTAAAAAGCGAGTGCATATAAAGAAAAAAGTGGAGTCTGAAATAAACTGCAAAATGCCTTTGTCCAGTTAGCCTGCTGTAGCGGAGAAATCGCCTCCCGCAAAATAAATCCATGTCTGAAGCGCTAAGAAAATTTCTCCCTTGTGAATACGGAAGCAGCTTACATAAAACAGGGGTGGAAACATTTCTTTTGAAACTGAAAATGCATGGATATACACGCATCCATACACATGTGTCCTGCTTGCTTTATTCTTATTCCACACACGACCCGGGGGCGCCAGAGGAAAAGCTCCCCCAGAACTTTTAATCTTATTGGAAATAATTCTGAATAGGTCGCTTAAAACATAATTGTAAAGTTTTTAACTCAGTTTCATACTCGTTACATTTTTAAGTCTCCATCGGAACTGCAGCTGCAACTTTTGTAGAAATAATTTTATAGTGTTGGTACGTATTTTATGGTGCGTTTAATGCGAAACTGTTGTTTATTATTCCCCGTGTGCGGACATAATAAACATAAGGTATGCCCATGTTTCTGGTGTGCGTTTAGATATCACATTTGTCTGTTGTTTTGCCAACCGAGGCTGAAACAACCCCGACTTCCTTAATGCTAAATGCATTTCTTAGATCTGATATCATTTAAATATTGGTGTCTGCTTCTATTATCTTGATTACGTATGCGAAAGTTAAGGTGCATTATGCAAATGGCAAAAAATTACAATGCAACATCACTCTGTTCATATGTTGGGGCAAGCAGAACAATAATTAATTATGGAAATGCAATCGATTTAGACTGATACCAACACCTTATACATTCCAGGGAAGACTTTTTGGAACGGTTTTAATGAAAATATGCGAAAATCGGAATGTACAAGTGCATTTTTTCCTTCAAGTGAGAATATATGTGCTAATTTGCTAGAAAATCTGCCTAATAAATTTGCCACCATTTAAGTAATCTGATGTTAATGGTTCAGTGCGGTCAGTATACTTGCAAAAGTAAAGGAAGGAAATGAACAAAAAAACGAATAATTGAAATAAGAATGGAACCGATGCAATTGACTGGAGACGTTCATGTCGGCCAGGCTTTTGCTTACACCACGTTTATTGATCAGTTTTTAGTTTAACTTCCAAGACATTGTGTCACTTCTCCTACTTGTCCATCTAAGCCTCGTAGTACTAAGAATAAGTAGCAAAATAAATCAGAATACCAATTTTTTTTTGAAGACAACTGACTTTTTCATTTTAGGTTTTGTCTAGTTTTTGTTTGTTATTTCATTATATACATTATTTACGAAACTAACGAACTTGATTCTTTAAAATTTAAGTTATCGTGAAAAGGGTAACGTGGTAGCTAAAATTTATCCAAAAAATTGATGACGTGATAAGTAAAACTCGGTTAATTATGCAGCTTCAGATCCTCATTTATCTATAGTTTAACACTCACCCCTGTTTTAAAAATTACACGTAGACGTTATATTAAAAAAATAATGTATTTAAGAATTTTTCGGAGAAACTGGACGTAATGGACGTCTTGTTATAGTTCTTTAAAACAACGTATAAAATAAAAATATATATGTACCTATTATAAGGGACAAACGCAATTTAAATGCACACCATTCATTGTACTTGTGGAAAAACCAGTGTGTGTAACACGTCTGCGAAATTCACTAGCCTTGAGTAGCTTTTAAACACATCTCATTCACCAAAAAATTAAAAGACATTGTCGCTAATAAAAAACTAGATCAGCCCAAGTAAACGTATAAGAGGAAATATAAAGTCGTATGTTG